CAAAACCGCGCCTCAACTCCTCAACCCTCTCCCACACTCGGGCATACCCTTGGTCCACGCATGCCATGCCACCCCTACACCAGCCTTTCCCTTCACCACCACCAGACATGGCCAACGAGACACCAGCCATACCCTTAGCCACAACAGCCATACCCTCACCAACACCACCCCTGGCCACCCCAGCACCAGCCATACCCTTATCACCACCAGACATGGCCAAAGTGACACAAGCCATACCCTTAGCCACACCAGTCATACCCTCACCGACACCAGCCATGGCCACCCCAACACCCGTCCTACCCTCGCTAACACCAGCCATGCTCACCCCAAGACCAGCCATACCCTCAGCTGGCCAAATTGTTAGTGCCACACCTAAAAAATGTACTTCTCACGTGCAATACATCCACACTGACATATACCAGTATAAGCCTGCTTACCTTTGCATTCGGCACCATATCCGGCACTTAACTCCCTGGACACTAGCACTAAACTTCCTGGGCCCAGCAGTCAGCACCCCGTACCCAAACACCCAATTCCCCTCAAATCCCCTGGTTGAGAAGCACTAAACTCCCCTTACCCTATCCCTTAACTTCCCTGGTAGATTAGCACTCAACTCCCCTTACCCCACCCCTCGTCTCCCTTAGTTGAGTAGCCCTCAACTCCCCTTACCCCACCACTCATCTCCCCTGGTTGATTGGCACTCAACCCCCCATACCCCATCACTCAACTCCCCTGGTTGAGTGGCACGCAAACCCCCTAACCCCATCACTGAACTCCCCTGGCTGAGTTGGACTCATCTCTTCTACCCCATCACTAAACTCCCCTGGTTGAGTGGCACGCAACTCCCCTTACCCCATCACTATACTCCCCTGTTTTAGTGGCACGCAACGCCCCTTACCCCATCACTAAACTCCCCTGGATTAGTGGCACGCAACTCCCCTTACCCCATCAACAAACTCCCCTGGTTGAGTGGCACGCAACTCCCCTTGCCCCATCAATACACCCCCCTATTTGAGTGGCACGCAACTCCCCTTACCCCATCACTCAACTCCCCTGGTTGAGTAGCACTCAACTCTCCTTACCCCATCATTCATCTCCCCCGGTTGAGTTGCACTCAACTCCCCCGGTTGAGTACCACTCAACCCCTCGTACCCTATGACTCTTCTCCCTTGGGTGAGTGGCTCCCAACTCCACTTACTCCATCGCTCAGGTCGCTAAAACATAGCACTCCAGTCCCCTGAACCGAGCACTCTATTCCCCTAAACCCAACACTCACCCCCCTGCCCCGCCACCTCCCGCCCATCGCTACCCTCCCACCTAAGACGTACGTATCTGATTGAACGACACTCTGGTCGAGCGATGCGTCCATGTGATACTCGACCAGGAAGAACGTGCGGTACCTGTCTGAGAGCAAGACCACCACCCGCCCCACATCCTCCCTCCCGGGCAGATGGCAAAACAACAGGCGGACCATGCGGCAATACCTGCACACCAGAGATAATCTAGGGAATACAGGCTCATCACCTGCAGTGTTCCATAGCCCGTTGCCACAAGGCATCCCACGACAGGTCCCGGCACCCACCTCAGCAGAGTATGACGCTCCTCCCCCGTCAAGCGGCCTGAGATGCAACGCATGGTGTGCAGCCACAGGCCTTCATCCACGACATGGAGCAGGCACACTCCCACTGCCTCGTACAGGTTGCCCCACACTGTCTCCACAAATCCCCAGCTCCAAAGAGAGCACTGCCACATGTGTGAGAAGTGTAGGGAACGTGTACACGATATCGGGTCGCGTGCATCGTCCACCTGCAAATGTGTTCAAACCAAGGGAGTGAATGCTGTGAGGGATGAGGGGATCTAGGGACTAACCTTCACAAAGTGTGTGGACCATGCGCGTCGCTGACGGTCCCGTTCCGGGGGTGAGGCTCGCTCCATCAGCTTGTACGCCAGCCTCTGATCGGCCACAGCGCGGGGCTGTGGGATGGCTGTCACGTTGGTCAGCTCCCATCTGTTGACTGTGCATTTTGAGCACGGCTTGAAGGAGTTTGATGCCATCGTGCACGTCACCTTGCATGACTCGGGGTAGTCACAGACTACCAGAGCACTACTCTGCACAGCTCTATGAGCATTTGCACATAGAGTTTACCAAGAATCCCTTTCGGTCGTCGAACAAGAGGTCGGTCAATGCGCAGGTCGTCAGAGTGAGGAGGCTCGTCTGTGCCTACAGTATCTAGTTCCGCTCCTCAGGGCCAAGAAGAAGTATGATAGGGCCATGGTGTTGGGGCCACTTCTGAATGATTTGTCACTTCTGTGCCGGGGCCACTCCCAATCCCCCTTGCTACTGCCCCTTCCCCACTATGGCTGCCCGTTCAAACGCATCAATGTCCCCCCTTTTGCCCTTGTGTTGCACGCTCATTCCATGCATCATATTCTCTCGCGACTTCGCCTTGTCCACACGTGGCTCATCCTCCCACCCAGTATCCCCCTTTTATCCCTTCATCCCCCACCTCCCAACTGCCCTCTCACCTCACACATCCATCCACCTTCACAATTTAAGATGCGGAACTTTCACAATGTCCCAAAACCCTGTGTATTACTGATCCCATAGATCCAACATCACTGGCTCCAACCCCCTACCCCATTATCTACTGCAGGCGAATCCTCTCAAAGAGTTCATGGACGATGCATGTGCCTGCTGGCCGCGAGGCAGTCCCATTTCCGAACGCACCTGACCCCAAGTGCGACAGGGCATTGGATCTGGCTATTGGAGAGGAGTTAAAGCACCTTCGAGCCGCTTTGGACGCGGCACCAGAGTGTGGGGGAAGGGGCCGCGATTTCAAGGAGGTCCATGTACGTATAATACAACCCGCATACACACGTGCCTCACCTGGTCCCAACGCTTATTATATTGACAAAGCCATGTGGCTGCACATGCAGGTGCACTGGGAGCTGGCCATGCCTGTAGCTGTTGATGCGCCGTATAGTCGCCTTCCTCACTGCGTGCAAGCACTGCCTATGCATTACTGGCGCCAGTGGTATTCTGATGTCGCGTTGCGCGGAACAGGCAAGCATGGGGATGAGGAGTGGTTTGGGAAAACCGTTCTCTTGTTCCATGTGGGCTCAGGGAGCACATCAAGAACTATGCATTCATCAAGTATTATAAGGAAGAACCGTTAATTGACCCTGTAACTAGGTGCAAGGTACTCCGCTGGGATGGATGACAATATTGATGCATGGCTGGTAAACCGGTTTGCATGGTGAGTACTAGGTGAAACTTCTTTATCATTAAGCATTGAACAAAGTTGTTTGGCTCACCCCTTGCTAGTCGCAAAGGCGAGCAGGGTTGTGTGTAGCTCTTGAATAGCAGTTTTAGAATGAAACATTTCAATGTAACAAAGTGTGTTACGCATGGAAGGATATTGGATAACCCAATTCGACAGAAAACCCAAATGCACTGCTAGTCCCAGCTTTGACGTGGCGGTGCACCTTTTCTACCAAAGAAGAAAAATCTGGTGTGCTGTTTATTTTGTTGCGCTGGCTTCATCTCGTCCGTCAAAGCCAGATGGCTTTGTTGGTGGTGGCATCGGATGCTCGCAAGACCGAAACCAAACATACATGCACCAAGGCCAGGTGCATTGCTGCATACTCCCAACTTGACAAATGTGGACATACCGTCAGATGTTTTGACCTCCTCCCATCCACGGCTGGTACTCAGTCAGTGCGCCAGCGCTCATGATCGCCTTGCACCATTTTGCTGACGCTTACATCGTTCTGTTCGCGTCGGTGGACGCCAATGGTCCAATCTGATTACAGCTTTGGTCAACTGCGGCTGACGTTCACCTGCATCTTCGCGTGCCAGCAAGTGGCCTCGCTGTCAATGCTGACGTGCAAAGACCCAGATACCCTTTGCGTGCACTACCGCCACCCGATTTTGACACACCTGAGCATCTACGATTCTACACTTTCTGCGCTTCGACCCCATGCATGGTTCCCATCACACCGCTGGCGGATGCTCACACGTCTAGCCGGAGGTCCAGATCTAGACCCTCCGCCGCATTTTCTGCCCCACGTCCCTGGTCAGCTCGCTCAAAATTTTTAGAATTAAAAAATTGAGCAGCTATACCATTGGCATCTGGGTTTGACGGGAGATGAACATCATAGTACAGATCAGGACGCAGATTTTCAAAAACCAAACCACCGGCATAGGTTGTGGGAACCGACCGAATGTGTTCAATCTGGTACTCCGACGACTCTGATGCGGCCTTGCTGTTGTCCAGCTCGGATTTTGAGTTTTCATGAGTACCACAAAAAAATGGCAAAATTGTGCTGCTTCGTTATGAGGGGAAATGGTGTCTAATAGCAAGAGAAGAGGTTGTGCTTCGACTGATTCACCAACACAAAGCTTATGTGCATGCAAGATATTAAGATCCTGAATTTCACGTCACGAATATGCCCGACGCCGGATGCATGTTATATTTTTGGTGTTTTCCACATGTTTTACTGCCTACGTGTAAGGTCGGTTTGCGTCTGTTAAAGCCCAGGTCCCAAGTTACAAGCCGCGAAAAGAGAGCGCGGCTCGAGTTAGGGCGAGAGTTTTCCGATTGGCTGCGAGGGTGGCGAGAGCTCAAATTCTGAAAACTTCCTTGCGACTGTCGCGAATACAAATTTGAACTTCGCAAACCATAACTCAAACGAGGTTGGGAAAGGAAAGCGGGGAACGAGCAAAGCACAACAGAGCAGCACTACACAAACTAGGCTAACGCGTCACAGCATCAACCAGTCGCACTGCGGCAAACGCGCTGAGCATAACCGAGAGCAACCGAAGACGACGGGCATTTCCGCAGACCATTACTTAGTGTAAAATATCGAGACTTCTGCTATCGTAAATTTCCTATTTTGCCAGCAACTCAGAGAAGACCCGATCGAAGGTCAAGCGGATTACGGATTTCCAAACTTTCACGGATATTGTGTGCAAGTCTAATATCGGATGATTGCAAACCGGCAGCCCATGCGTTCCCCTAAGCTTACCGAGGGTAGTTAGGATCACACGCTAAGTCGGCAAGCGATGGCTCTGGAATAGAAGGAGAGGCAGCGCTACTCGAGTTAGGGCGTTATACCAGAGTGCGGGATAGAGCAACGAAAGCGACTGCGCAGGGGAATATCCGCGACGCATCCACGACCGACGGCGCAGTGCGAGAGAGAGGAGGGATGCAGAGCGAGAGAGAAGAGGGATGCAGAGCGAGAGAGAGGAGGGATGCAGAGCGAGAGAGAGGAGGGATGCAGAGCGAGAGAGAGAGAGAGAGAGAGAGAGAGAGAGAGAGAGAGAGAGAGAGAGAGAGAGAGAGAGATAGGGAGAGAGAGAGAGAGAGAGAGAGAGAGAGAGAGAGAGAGAGAGAGAGAGGGGGGGGGGGGGGGGTGCAGAGCGAGAGAGAGGGGGATGCCGAGAGAGAGAGGGGGGGATGCAGAGCGAGCGATAGGGGGATGCCGAGCGATAGGGGGATGCCGAGCGAGAGAGGGGATGCTCTCACTCCACTCCCCCTCCCCTGCTCTCACTCCACTCCCCTTCCCCTGCTCTCACTCCACAACCCCCCCTGCTCTCACTCCACTCCCCCTCCCCTGCTCTCACTCCACTCCCCCTCCCCTGCTCTCACTCCACTCCCCCTCCCCTGCTCTCACTCCACTCCCCTTCCCCTGCTCTCACTCCACTCCCCCTCCCCTGCTCTCACTCCACTCCCCCTCCCCTGCTCTCACTCCACTCCCCTTCCCCTGCTCTCACTCCACTCCCCTCCCCTGCTCTCACTCCACTCCCCCTCCCCTGCTCTCACTCCACTCCCCCTCCCCTGCTCTCACTCCACTCCCCCTCCCCTGCTCTCACTCCACTCCCCTTCCCCTGCTCTCACTCCACTCCCCCTCCCCTGGTCTCACTCCACTCCCCCTCCACTGCTCTCACTCCACTCCCCTCCCCTGCTCTCACTCCACTCCCCCTCCCCTGCTCTCACTCCACTCCCCCTCCCCTGCTCTCACTCCGCTCCCCCTCCCCTGCTCTCACTCCGCTCCCCCTCCCCTGTTCTCACTCCACTCCCCCTCCACTGCTCTCACTCCACTCCCCCTCCCCTGCTCTCACTCCACTCCCCCTCCCCTGCTCTCACTCCACTCCCCCTCCCCTGCTCTCACTCCACTCCCCTTCCCCTGCTCTCACTCCACTCCCCCTCCCCTGCTCTCACTCCACCCCCCTCCCCTGCTCTCACTCCACTCCCTCTCCCCTGCTCTCACTCCACTCCCCCTCCCCTGCTCTCACTCCACTCCCCCTCCCCTGCTCTCACTCCACTCCCCTTCCCCTGCTCTCACTCCACTCCCCCTCCCCTGCTCTCACTCCACTCCCCCTCCCCTGCTCTCACTCCACTCCCCTCCCCTGCTCTCACTCCACTCCCCCTCCCCTGCTCTCACTCCACTCCCCCTCCCCTGCTCTCACTCCGCTCCCCCTCCCCTGCTCTCACTCCGCTCCCCCTCCCCTGCTCTCACTCCAGCCCCCCTCCCCTGCTCTCACTCCACTCCCTCTCCCCTGCTCTCACTCCACTCCCCCTCCCCTGTTCTCACTCCACTCCCCCTCCTCTGCTCTCACTCCACTCCCCTTCCCCTGCTCTCACTCCACTCCCTCTCCCCTGCTCTCACTCCACTCCCCCTCCCCTGCTCTCACTCCGCTCCCCTTCCCCTGCTCGAACCCCTCACTCCCCCCGTGCTCTCACGCCTCTCTCCCTTCCCTGCTCTCACTCCTCTCTCCTTCCTTTCTCCCCGTGCCTCACTCCCTCCCCTTCTTTCCTTCCCTTCTCTCCTTCCCGTGTGCTCTCGCCTCTCTCCCTCCCTTCCCCTCATGCCTCACTCCCTCTCTGCTCTCACGCCTCTCTCCCTCTCCTTATCACAATCCTCACTTTTTCCCATGCATTCACGCCTCCTCCCCTCTCCTGCCCTCACGCCTCTCCCCCTCCCTGCGCTCCCTCCTCTCCCCCTCCCGCAGCGGGCCTCTTTCCGTTCGCTGCTGTGTCGCCACTTTCCCTTCCCTGCGCTCACTCCTCACTCAGCGTGGGAAAGCGGGGAACGAGGAAAAGCGGGAAGCGGGAAGCGAGGGAAAGTGAGCCCGCGAGAGGTAGCGGGGAGCGGGAGAGCTTGGGAAAACGGGAAGCGTAGGAAAGCGCGTAGCGGGTAGCTTGGGAAAGCGGGATGCAGGGAGGGAGGGCAAGCGGGCAGCTGCTAAACGGTCCTGGAGCATACAGAGGTAAGCGACTCGCGATCAAACGCGGGACGCGGGAGCGCGGTAAGCTGGATGCGACATAAAGCGAGGGGAAGCCGGGAAGTGTTGAAGCGAGGGAATGCGGGAAGCGTGGGAAAAGCGTGTAGAGGGAGAAAGCGGGAAGCGGGTCAGCGAGGGAAGTCGGGAAGTGGAAGCTAGACAAATAGGGAATCGGAAGCGTCGCAAATCGGGACGCGAGGGAAAACGGGGAGTCAGGGAAAGCGGGAAGCGAGAAGCGGGGGGAAGCGGGTAGCGTGACACATGAGAAAGCGGGAAGCGGGACGCGAAGCCTAGCGGGAAGCGGTTCGCGAGGGACCGCCTACGAGCGGAAGGTTCGGACTGGCGGGAAGAGGTTTATTCCGAACCTATTTCGCCCTAAATGAACGCATGATCGCGCTTCCAATGGACGGCCCGTGACCTAGCTTGCCTCCGCGTGCGGTTAGGACACATAGTCCTAGGAAAATACGAGTGGGAGAATGGCTTTTCCTGGGTCCCAATTTACAGATTTGCTATCATTCTTCCCTTGGTCGTTTTTGGGAGCAAGGGTGAGGGCTGTGGGTTGGGCCTCGGCGATTGTCGTTAATTGGCTTCGACCAATCACATGGCCCCCTTTGACCCCTGTCCTGAGTTGGTCAATTCCCTCCAGGGTGAATGGGGTTACCCTTTTTTTTGCGCCCCGACTTTGCTAGCAAACCCAACCGCATCTTGTAACTTGGGACCTGGGCTTTAACTTTCCTGGCTACACGAGCAGAAATCTGATTGGTTGTGTTTTACTGCTCCTTCGTAACCCTTCACACGTCAGGCCGATGCGCCATGACGCGAAACAGTTGCGCACGCCACATATTGTCGAAATCCATGAAGCTTAATTGGAGAAAGAAACGGCAGCGGTAACGCAAACAACCATACACCCCATCAACCCATCCTAAAAACCCACCCCTTTACCACCATTAACCATAGTCTCATGGCTGAACTGGATGGATGTGTTTCTCGGGCAGGACTAGGAAAAAGAGTCAGTCCTAACGAGCCTAAAGGGGTCTCTCTGCCTCACCCCTTTTCCCCCCTCAATCTTCAAGTCTATTCTGCCCTAGCAAGCCTTCCTGCAGACGTTATGAGGAGAAATTTAGCGTAGGAGGGCAAGAAAGCAATGCGCTAAGAAATCCGTTAACACTCTCTGCGGCACCAAGGCCGCTGCTGGGAAACCCAAACGCCAGGGTAAAGGCAAAGCTGCTGCAGCAGCCGCGGTTGAAGCTCACAGTCCTTCTGCGGCTGCGCAAGTCGCCGCAGCCCCACTCTCTCACGCTACTCCAACAGCCGCCCAGCCGCTGTCAAACGCGGCACCATCATCGCCATCACCTGCGGCGCAATCCGTGGTGCCGCCTGCGTTCCTTGCTGCGGTCGGGTCCACACACCTGCATGCGTTCGTGCCAACGCAAGTGAACATTCCCGCACCCCAACTCCTGTCGAACCAAACCAATGTGGGAACCGCAGTCGGAGCTGAGAAGGCCGCGCCGTACGTGCCAGGACCTAAGACCGCCACTGTGCTTGCGGTTGCTGCAGATCCTGCTGCAGACGCAATGGATGTGCAAGCTGATGCGGTGTACGATGGTGTTGGCATGGCCGTAGAGGGTGTCAACGAAATTGACGCTGACGCGCAGTCCGACGACGACGAGGAGGGCTCCGAGGACGCGGACAAGGAGAGCGACGCCATGGACGCCAAGACGCAGCACGCGGAGGTCGCGGAGGCCGAGAAGCGAGCGGCAGTGGCACATGCCGAGGCGGTTTGAGCAGCGGCGTAGGCCGAGGCGCGGGTGGCACTCGCACATTTCTCGGCACAGGCGGGAGCCGCGCGGGCGACGGAATTTGCGCAGGGGAACGCCATGGATGGAGGCACCTCCGAAGAACTGCTTCGCCGGCAGCGCTCCCAGCGTACGACCGCGTTTGAAGCCCTTGCTCCATGTTTGCAATGTCCCCCCCCTTAACCACCCCACCATGTTTCCGCAAATCCAGTCTGCTTTTACTCACCGTTCAACTGTATCCTTGCTCCTCCCCTCCCCTCTAATCCCCTTCTCTACTCTCCTTTCTCTCCCGCATCCCTCCCTTCCCACCCCCCTCCTCCCCCCCTCCCCACCCCCCCCCCCCCCCCCCTCTCTCCCCCCCACCCGTACCCTCCCCCTCCTGTAACCTCCAGCTACCACTATAGGGCGACGCGGACTCTCAAGGCTCAGCTGCAGGACTCACAGAACGCGGTGCAGGCGGTTTTTACTCAGCTGAAGGAGGCACAAGGCGCCCTGACGCAGGCTGAAGGGGAAGGCGACCGCATGCGTCACGAGCTCGCGGAATTACAGGCGCGGCTCGAAGCGGCTCTGGCATGTCCACCGAGTGGCCGGGTGCGGGATCTTGACGATCCGACCGTGGACATATCGCTCATCACCACCGACCCGCTCACTAAGGAGCTCAAGCTCCCCTCCTGCCTGCTCGTCGACGACGAGTACAATGTAAGTCCTGCGTTATCACCATTGTCTCGTCGCAATTTCTCCCCCCTGCGCTTCAGATACCCTGCGCATTTAATTGAAGCTTGAAATACCCTGAGTTATCCTGTGCTTGGAAATCTCTCTCTAACGCCGCGTTTCCATGTTCCTAGCTTGCGTGCAGGAAGTGGTGGACAATTGCTTCTCCTGGCACATCATCCGCGGAAATGGCAAGGATATTGAGTTCTACCCCACGTGCGTAGAATTTCAACCTCACTTCGCCAGACACCTGATCAATATTTGAGTGATACCGTGTCAAATTATATATATATATATATATATATATATATATTTGTTTAGGCTTGGTAGATGTGCTACATTACTGGATCCTACTGTAGTGGAGACAACCCCCCCTTCTTGTATCTATTCCTCTTCTAGTCCAACCCCTCTTTCTCTCGTAACTCTTCCCTCTTAGCTAAACCTCTCGACACCTTTCATGGCTTCCTAGCTAGCTTCTTTCTGACATGGTACCAGAGCTGGCCAATCCTGCCTATCATCACGCTTCCGCAGCATCCTCTCGCCCCACCCATCACTTACGCGCCGCTGTGCAGCCATGTCGTGCTGCCACGGCGGCCTTTATGCTCTGCCGTGGCAGCCCCGACGCGCTGCCGTGGCATCGACGCCACGCCGTGGCGGCGTCGTCGTGCTGCCGTGGCGGCGTCAACGCGCCAGCGCACGGACGGCAGCGGCCAGCACCCGGTTTTAGCGCCGTCGAGCTCGCCCGCATGCCAGTAAGCGCCGCGCCAGCCATGGTGCCTCGCTGAAGATTCGCCCCCCCCCTTCCCCTCCTCTGCCTTTCCCCTCCTCCATCGCAAAAAGTGTCACGTTCGCAAAACGTTTACGCCATTTTGGGCGATGCACAAAGTTGGAGATCATCCGCAAAGTGTTCGCCAAGTATTTGTTAATCGTTTCGATTCATGTGAACGGTTTGCGAGTGTTGCGCGGTTGAGATGTTTTGCGGATGCATTGTTGTGGAAAGGTTACAAAATACTGCATTGTTGTATTTGCGTAACTTAAAGGCTCATTAAAGTGTTAATTTTCACCATGGTTATTGTATAGAAATGGTGAAATGGTTTTTGCACTGCATTGTCTGTCTTTCACAGTGCAGCAGCAATTGATGGCACGGAGTCTAGCATGCTCGTGCAAAATCGTTGGAAGTGCGATTGTTAGCACATACTTATGGTAGTCGTAATGAATGTAATTTATAAAGGGTGGCAGGGGACACGTGCATGTCGAGTCAGAAGAGAAAACGGTTAACAAGCCGGTACTCAGGCTCTGTGCAGCTTGGGACTACATGGGCAAGGCTTAGGATGCAATCCATGTCAATGACAGCGTAGTTGTCGATGCCCGTCGTTGGGCTCAGGCGCTTGCACCCGGTGTCCGGGCATGGCCGCGGGTGCTCGGTGTAGTACTGAATGTAGGCGGCACGACCCTCCACACCTGCATCGTCAAGGTAGTGGAACAGCACGAGGGCCCGGCCGTACCACGGTGGGCCGACTCCATCTGCGGGCTTGATAGAGACGTCAGAGAAGAGCCACTCATGCGGGGTCGCCTTCACAAACTGTCCCTTGGCCGTCCACTCCATGCGGTCGTGGGGGGGGATGGCCATGGCCGTGTGCACCTGCATGCACTCGGGTAAGAGTGGCATGGACGGGCGGAACAGCAAGGCGGGATTAGGGAGTGGAGGTTGGGGGGACATGCGGTGAAGGGTTTCAGCGGAAATGAGGGTAATGCACATGCGATGGGGGTGTTGGGAGGGAGGGGTGGGGTGGGGATGAGATAAAGCAATACGCGAAAGGGTTTCGGTCAGGGTCGAGACCGGCATAGTTCTTAACTAGACGGGTTAAGAGGGCACACTTCATGGAATCATGAACACCAGCACCTCCCACAAGTGTGGCTTGCAAGTTCATAGGAGCGTTGAGGAGGCAGATGGGGAGTTGGGATGGTTAAGCACTTACCCAGACAGTGCGCGTCGTGATTTTGGCGAGGTCCATCTTGTTTGCCATTTCTCGCATCGCCTCCACGCCAGCAGTACGTATGTAGGACAAGAAAACGGTGTCCAGCTGGTCCCCCACCACCATGCGCCTGCAAGTCTTCGTCATGACCCTCTTGCCAAGGAGGGCCGCCTGTGGGGGACGGTGTCGGGTACACGGGGTGGTTAGTGCGTTTGGGAGGGTCGGGGTGGGTTAAGGGACAACCTGAAGGGGAAGGGGAGGATGGGAGTGGGGAAGGGGGAATCCTATGAGGTGATAAGGCAGACAAGAGATGTGTAGGGTGAATGCATAGAAGAAGGATGGCTGGTGGGAGAGTGGAGGGCTGATTTCCAAGATCGGGGATAGAAGTATGGGGATGAGGGAGTGTGCTGTCAGGGAGTGGGGAAGGGTGATGCCAGGGAGGGGTAACAGCAGTGGGGGGTGGGTGAAACACAAGGGGGTGGAGGGCGGATGGGGTTGGGGGAGGGTGAAATCAAGGACGGCGAGAGGCAGATGTGAGTGGGGAACACCTACTGAATACAAGGTCGACAGCCCCAAAGGTGGGGTGGAGGAGTGGGGGCGGAAGGGAGGGGGGGAGGGAGGGAAGGGAAGGGAAGGGGGGGAAAATGGGGGTACGGGAGAAGGGGGCATACCTGCTTCATTGCCGTCTCATAGGTGGCGTCGCCTCCCACCTCTCTCGTCAGTTGCCGCACGACCGCATGCTGAATGTGCTTCTTCACAATCCTCTGGTCGACATTCTTCCAGTTCGAGCCCCGGGAGGGCCGCTTGACAGTGGTCTTGTGGGCGTGCTCGTAGGAGTTGCTGGAGTACTCGTGGGGGAGCCCACGTGCCTTGATCGTCTCGGAGAGGTGGCAGATGTCATGGATCTTGACAATCCCCCACCCCGACTTCTGGTTTTCGAATGCCGTGCCTAGGGAGTCGACCATGCTATGCGGTGCAGACGGGCAGATAATGGGTCATGGGGGATTGGGGGTGGGGGAAGTTGGGGGTGGGTGGGCGGGTTTGGAGGAGGTGTGATACTCATAAAGGTGCACAACAAAGGCACGGCAGGGGGGGCTTCCGCGGATGTAAGGGGGGACCAAGCTTCGAGGGAGTGGGGAGTGGGTGCAGGTAAGCAAGGTGAACGTACTCCTTGCCGTCGCTCGTCAGCTTCACTAGCGACTCGTCGGTGTGGTACTCCGCACGGATGTGCTCCTTGTACCATGTCACCATGCGCACGACCGCCTCCCGCTGTGGCTCCCGCTTGTCGAGGATGAGGATGAGGGGGAGCACTTGCATCATTGCACGGTGCTCAGACGCCGCGAACCCGGCGGTCGTGGAAAAGTACATCCACCCGCCGGGCAGTCGCAGAAGGAAGGACGGCGTCACTGCCTTGATAGCGGAGTATCGGCTGGGGGGGGGGGGTGGGGAGCACAAGGAAAGTTTGGGGGGAGGGCGAAAGACAAGGGAGGCAGGGGACATGTGGAAGGACGTCACGGACTACAAGGACCAGTATGAGTTGGAGAAAATAAAAGGCAACACACAGCGGGTGAAGCAGCAGCTCACTTGAGCAGGATGCCGCGCTCCGATGGAGTGAGCTTAGCGACCAGGCACTTCATGGCATGCAGCCACCACCCTTGCTCTATCATGTGCATGATGCATGGAGGGAGTGCTAGGTAGATGTTCCCCCACAGCGTCGTGGAGAACTCCCACTCCCACAACGCGCACTGGGGATTACCCATGAGGCGGGCACACGTGGCGGGTCGGGATTAGGGTTAGTTTGGGGTGGGTGGAGGGGTGGGGACGCGTTGGCATAGCCCGTGGGGAAAGGGAGAGGGGGGGGGGGGAGAAGGGCGGGACATGAGAGGACGGTCCTGGGTTAAGGGGGGGTGCATGAACAAACGGGACAGCAGAGTCCGATGGACACGGCTTTGGGTCTGGGAAAAGATACGTGGCGGCTGAGAGCAAGGACAGGGGGGGGGAAAGGTGGGAGAGCGAGCACGCGAGAAGGGCCGTGTGTGCGGTAGATGAGAGAGGAGGGACACGGAGTAGGGCAGAGGCAACGAGGGTGGGGATGTGTCAAAGGGAGTCGTGGCCACAGCGGGGGGGCGGACATCGGCGGTTAACGGGGGGAGAGGGAAAGGGGGGCGGGGGTGGGGCCTTGTGGTGCATCGCAAATCGAAGAAACACGTTAGCCAGCAAGTTGTAACTTCTCTGAAATATTCCAGTAAACACGAGAGGTACAACATGCAGACGCTATGGCTTCGTTCGCACAGGACATCGTGCAGAGCAACCATTGGATTCTCGCCAAACAGAGGATCTTTCACTGGATCCCCCCTGCACCATCACCGGGCAAACAGGGAGGCGGACCCGAGAAGGCCAATCACGGAGGTACTCTACCGGCGGCTGCCCCAGTGCCGGCCATGGCACACGCAAGTCCCTCTCGGTGAACGGTGGACGGAACAACATGTAGCAGTTGGGCCAGGGGAAATCCAGGGGATGCGCTGGGTGGGATAGATAGTACCACCGGCGACACACGGCCTGCTGACGCACGAATGGTTTGAGGTCGGGCTTGATGTCTGGCCAATCCCGGCCGTTCTCCCAAAGACCAGTCCGAAGAATTTCGAAGATTTTAAGCCACACATCGTCAGGTAGGTAGGGAAGCTCGCGGGATGGTCCACGCCTGCCATCGTCTGCCATGGTTCAGCGCACAACTATTGGCAAAAGCACGGATGCGACGTACCGCTAGTGCCTTGCGCTGGAGAGTGAGTTGTCGAGAAGGGACGGCAAGGGTACGGGGACTTGCATGGGCAGCGCGGGCTCACTAATCGGCGAGTACGCGAGTGGCCGTGATGGGGGGCGTTTGCCGTTACAGTGTGCGACTGGCAAATCAACATGCGGTGCACCTCGGCGGTACGCTGTACCGCGCGCGCAAGGGAATCGACACCGATAATGGAACAATGTTCAAATGGAATGCCGTAGAACGAGCAACGTTGATCCAGATGCAATGATTAAAAGACACTAACCCGTCCAGCGGGCTAAGGGCAATACGCGGCCGCGAATTGACAAGAGACAGTGACCCGTCGATCGGGCTGGGGGAAATATGCGGCGTGGATGCAGGACAAGATGTTGACGTTAGATGTGACAATCTTAGAACGCTTCGCTAAGTGTTCAAAAAACAATTCCGCAAACGCTTCGCGAAATGTATGAAAAACCTTTCCGCAAACACTTTGCGAACGTTTCAAATGCGTTACGAGTTCCATAACGTTCCGATCACCAACACCCCCCATCTCCCGCGAAAGAGGCAGAACCAGAACCCTCCCACTTACTGGCACGGCGTGCGTCGAGTACTTCGACTTGAGGGCAGCCAGGGCGCTTGGCGTCTCCACCCGCTCTGAGCGTTTGAGAAGCCTGTACACCGCCTTCTGGCCCTTGACGGTACGATTCAGAGTTGTCGAGAAGATTTGCTTCAGGTTGTTCTGCTCCACTAGACACATGGAGCATGGACGGAACGACTGGCACTGCATGGTGCACGAGACCTTGGAGGACTCGGGGTGGTCAGTGACGTAGGCGTACAGCACCGGAAACCCCATCGCGTGGTTTCCCGCGTGATCCTCTAACAGCAGCCCGCCACTGAGGGAAGTTCCAGTAGGATGGGGGGTGGGGGGGAAGGTGAGGAAGAGGGAGGGGGGGTGGTGGGCTGAGAGAGTGAGGATCGATGGCGCCTGGATGCGGATGCGTCGTGATACCGGCACAGGAGAGGGTAAGGGTGGGGTGTAGTGGCAACCGCGGGAAGAACCGCAACGCAGTGATGGCTCACCCACTAAGCTTGGACTTTTCGATTATGGGGCTTGCCAGGACAGCAAGGCCGGCCTGGAATGCCTTGCACTTCTCCTCAGGCGACAAGTCGGCGGGGATGGTTGGGAAGTTACCGAGCATCTCGGTGCCGTCCTCGCCCCACCGAGCCCACTCGGGCGTGTTGGAGAGAGCCAGCAGCGCGGGATGGGCAGTTTTCCTGCCGTTGTTGGAGAGGTTCGTCGCATCGCTGAAGAGAATGATGCCGAGGGGGAACCCACGGTCCCCTATGTGCTCCTACGTTATTCAACACACCATTAAACACGGTTTAGATAATGCGGTCCCAGAGGGTGGAGAGCAGAGTACAGATGTCGGCCGAAAGATGCAGCACGCGGAAGACGGAAACCATAGGGGTCACTGAACATGCATGTATCGTGCGAGTACCTGTGCTTTGAGCATGAAGTCCGTGTTCATGGGCGTGCTGTATCGACGCACCCCGTCCACCTTCCACTCTTCCGCGCGATGCAGGAAGCCCGAGACGGCCGACTGCCGCTTGTACAAGGCTTCCAACACCTACAATGGTGGGAAAAACAGAGTTACACACCAATAAGTGTCCATGGCATGCGCTATTTACACAGTGGAACCAACATGTGCTAGATTGGTGTTGAAGCTACAAGGTTTCTCGCAGGCTTGTGTGTGCTACCTTTAGTACCCTACGATGTCGGAAGACGAGGAACCCAACCTCATGGTCCACAGGGATCTCGGTCTCCAGCCACTCATTCTCCTCGCCGACCTCGAACTCCTCCTCGTACTTCTCAAGATCCCGATGGCTGTTCCAGCTGTCGATCTGCCGCGGGTCGAGGTCGGGGTGTCGGAAGATCTGGATCAAAGCTGTGACGGCTGCATTGCTTAGGCCGAAGTTACGGGCTAAGATACAGATCTCGGCCTTAAGGTCGAAGAGCTCCCTCTCCTCTACATCCGCGACAGCGCCAGGGTCGGGTAGCGGTGGCTCGGAGGGTTCTGTCGGTGGTACGGGTACTGCAGGCCGCCCGCGAGGCAGAGCATCCTCTGACCCTGGAAGGCGCGGAAGGGGAAGCGGGGCAGATCCACAATCGTGGAGCGTGTATACTCCATTGGACTCGCGTCGTACGCTAACGCCGTACTGCTGCCGATGTGCCGTAGCAAGCTTCTGCAACCTCTTGCACCGCTTGCTTCTAATCTGGTGTGTTCTTAGTGTTTGGTAGCATACGAAGCATAACTTACAGAAGGAGCATCTCATGGGCGTCATGCTCCACAAGTATATTTGACCGTCACCTGACTTAGCGAACCGATCGCGAGAGGCCACCGATGTTATACGCACTGCGTGATTAGGGTTTCGGAACTAGGTGAGTGGTGACAGCGTGGTTCAGATCAGCGCGTTTGTTGTTGGTCGAAATCCATCCCAACCGATATCTTCTTTGTAAACATCTTTCTGAGCCGCGAGGTACGTCACCCAACCGCACTGAAAGTACCCCTTGGTTCATGTCGGAACGGACAGACAATGAGGACCGCCAACGGACCGCATTGCTACAGTGTAGGTGGGAAATGCCAGTGTCGCAGAGGCTACCGCGGACGTGCTGAAAACTGACGAGGGGGGAGATCCGTTGTTTTAGGTTTGGGTGCGGGCGAGCAGGGCTGAGGGTGTATGTTGTACACGTTACCTCATATGTAAACCCGTAGATAAGGGCTTTTATACAGCAACATACCAACAAGCAGTCTTCCATTTACGGCATTACATGGGTTAAGCGTCCTCTAGACAGATCACGTAGGCGCAGTGACATCTGAGAGGCAGGCGAGCTTCTGCTCGTACTCATTGTAGTACATTGACCATTTCCGCAGGTCTCGCCGATACTGCCTCCGCCACGCTTTTGGATCTCCCTCCAGCTCGATTTGTCCGAGATCTGCAAATCTGGTCTCCACTAGATGGTGCATAAAACGCATTGTGTAGACCCCGCAGTCGTCTATCCGTCCTGTTTGGGCACCTGGCAGCATAAAGTGCGTTGGCATGTGGCAAGGGTTGGGAATAGGTTGGCCCGCAACCCTATGGAACCAGCACTGGGATCCCTTATGCACCCATGGCATAACGGCGCCCTTCTCCAAGCGCGCACCTGTATCTGGGTGAAGGGTATGGATGCAGCCCATTCCCTTGCGTCCACCCTATTGAATGTGGGAAAACGGCGGACGACTTGGCGTCGCAGGTACCTGCGATGGTTCGACAGTGGAAGAACATTACAACCGAGGAGCATGCTGTACGTGCAATCTGGTGAACGAGGCACCTACATAACTCACTCGCGCACAGGTGCATCCGCGCCCCCATGCTGGTCTTTTGAATCCGCGTGCCAGATATGCACGTCCAGAGGCGTCGGGGATTGCGGGGTGTGTCGCAATTGGAGCACCAGCAAGCTCCAGTGTGATCTGCGAGGCGTCATTATGGGGCGGGGTTTGCCGTATCACCAATGAACGAGACATATGTGCGCGTACGAACTGCAGCCCTTTGACATGTGGAACATTTGCAGAACATTCGAGGGAACACTTTTCAAACGCTTTGCTGGCAGAATTGTGACATGGTGAACGTGCGCAACATCAGCACTTGATACCTGGACACCTTGCGACCTGGGTAGGTGCAAATGACCGGTGTGACCTACCATGCTGATACTGTCAGATGACTCACTCCCAATGAACGGGGATGAAGACAAAAGAGTACTCGAGAGGGTCCGCCTTTAGACCATCCCGCCTACGAAGCCCACCCGCATTGAGTCGTGCAACCTCCCAGAAAAAGGTTGACGTGTATAGCCATTTTGGGTCGCTCTCCGTGGATTCGTAGCTCAGCATCCTGCGGGGAAAACGCTATCATGATTAATGAATAATGTCTTATTAGCCACGCGACGCACTGCACCGGCACGCCAACTCACAGTCCCACCCAGTCGATGAGGGCTCCTGCGATCCAGTTTCCCCCCCGAAGCGTGTTCGCGTCTCTCTCTTCGACAAGGAGCCACCCGTCACTGTTCAGCCGGGGCATACTGAACGATTTGAAGGGAGTAGAGGAAGGTATGTTAGGCCCCGACATGAACCCTGGTTTGGCGCCGCGGCGGTGGCGAAATACAGAGTCCAGGACTTGTCAAAACGCGATCGCTACACCCGTCTGAGTGAGACGGGGCAACAGACTACTGTATGTTTAGGTCATCCACTCGTGCGGCACTCTGAGTTTGCTGTTGCATTGTTCTACGTTTTGTGTATACGGGCGTGGAGCAAATGGGCCCACATATCTGTGACTATGCAGGCGGAGACGGGCGGAAACTGAAATGTTTTGCTGGAGGGTACCTTCGCCGATTAGCGCTGGGGCCCGTTTGGGACGAGACGTAACCACCACTGATTTTGCAGTATCGGGCAGTATTCAATGGTCGTGCATATGCCCGAGCCTGCGCTGAGCTGTCCAAACGTACATCACATGCGAGATTGTACACGTCTTTCCATACGCCAACTTCGGGACGACGGTTTAAGAATATGATACACGGCAACAATGAACATCATATAGTAGTTCAGTATTACCGATAAATACTCACATGGCATTCAACCCCAAAAAGAGAGTACACCCCACGGGGAGCAGTGTTGAGATTATATAAGTTATACATAACTGTTAGGCTTGCTAGTTACCGAACCTTTCTGAAGAGGGTACAATCCCCTCCTTGTACACCTCTCCCTTCCTAATCGAACCCCTTCTCTCTCGATATTCTCTTCCAGCTCCAACATCTACTTTCCTCCCGCCATTCCATGGCGGCTTTCCTAGCCTCCTAGTATCCTATCTGAAGTAGCTAGTGTCCTAACTTCTTCTGATAAGGAGTACACACTCACCTTCATTGACGCCGCCACCCGCTACGTCTGGGTACTCAGCGTTCACGAGAATCCCTCCGTGATCGAGCCAGTGACCTCATGGCAGGCTCTCACTGGTCCACACCGCGCTGAATGGCGCAAGGCTGTGAACGCCAACATCCTAACATGCAAATTGCACAGTTGCCTCAACTCATAGGCCAAGGGAAACGTCTACTGCCGCACGGCTCGATACATCGTACGTGGCTACAACCAATGCCAGGGCATCCACTTCGACCTTACGTTTACGCCCTTCAGCCTTCACGCCTGCGTGTGTGAACTTAGGACTGTTTGTATATAAATGTATGGTTGATAGCTGTTGCTGAACAGTACCGTTCAGGGTACAAGACTCCTCCTTATATCCCTCTCTCTTCTTTTGCAGTCCGATTTTCTCTCCACATTCTTGCCTACCTTCTGCATATAAACCTCACACCATGGTTTTCGGTTCTCCTGTTTCTACCTAGCCCAACTTCAAGACATGGTTTCAGAGCAAGACGCCCTTCCTGGGCCTGCTCCCAACCTCGCTTCCGCTGCGTACTCGTTCCCTGTTGGCCGCCGTCGCGGCCATCCTTCTGCCTGCCGGTCGTTCCCCTGGTGCGGAGTCACGACACGCCGCCAGTAGGGCGGGGGCCTCGCCCGTTACCGCCGTCGTAAGCTCCTGCCCTCGACGTCGCCGCTGTCGTCGCCGCACGCCTGTTGCCGCCGCACGCCCGTCGTCGCCGTCGCTGTCGCCACTGTCGGGACTACCGCCGTCGCCATCTCCAGAGCCTTGGGGTTGGCCCCTGCTGGAGTTGTCGTGGCTGATGGGAATCGAGGTGCTAGGTTAGGGGGTCTGGGGGTGTGTGGGTCCTTCTGGTACCAAGCCTAAGGGTTGTGTTAAAATGTATATGATATTACATAACTGTAGCCTTGGTAGTTGTTACTAAGCATTACTGTATAGGGTACCACACCTACTGTTGTATCACTCACTCTTATGTTGTACTCCTTTTTTCTCTCGACATTGTCGCCTACCTCCTATACCTTAACCTCACGCCGTTTTCACTGCTTCTACTATTTGTACGTAGCATTTCGCCGGGCGACAGCGTGTTCATCCTTCACCACTTTGTTGCATGCCAACACATCGATCTACCTCTCCATCCCGGGATGTATCGCATCCACTTCCGCAGAGACCCCATCCTCCACACTGTTTACGTGAACTGTCAAATGTAACTTAGACAGTTACTGTAGACTACAATACATTGAGCCTTAGAGGGTACAACACCCTCGTCTATAAACCACTATATCCTTCTGTTATACTTCACCAAGTCATCATGATATGAACGTCGTATTCTACAACGGCACATAATCCGACCTGCTAGATCACTTCGAGCATAGCCTACGGCACCGCGTTGACATCACCACCTCCATGACAGGGACCCTGTTCCTCAGCCTCAACGTCGCCTACACGCCACATGGCATCTTTATGTACGAGTCAAAGTATGCCCAGACTATCGCGAAGCAATTAAACATAACGATGGGGCCGCTCTCCACACCCCGCCGCACTCCAGTAGGTGGCTACAGCCCCGACACCTAAACAATTCATGCTGCTGCCCATGCACCCTACTGGCAGCAGCGCAGATGTAAGCTGTTTATCGTGCGTCACGTTTCGACCAGATGTACAGCGAGGTTCCACTTCGACAAGAGCCTAGCGGACCCATCTTCTCGAACTGACAGGCACAGGAGCTGACCGCTCTAACCTCGGTTGAACCGTTTACATCGCAGCAACCTCCGCTGTTCACAAAGGTTCCGACCTATAGGATCCGCTGCAAGTTGCGAAGCTCAGCACATCGCCAACAAACCCAGTTTCATCATTCGCACTATGCACATCACCCTAAGAAACTGTTGCGTCAAAGTCAAAGTCCACGACGGGAGAGTGAACCTGACGTACTGTTACATTGGCGACATTGCAGCTCACTTCCTCACCAAACTGTTGGCACGTCCGACCCGTAGGTGCATAGGTAACGTACCCCTGTTAAGTGCATCTTCGACATACCCTTGGCATTCACTTTTGTATGCATCATGTATTGTCGTGCTACAATGAACACTGTTTTGTTACATTGACTCCGACAGGGTTCACAAGACCAATTAACCACTGCCGCAGAGCGCACATCTCAAGGATGAACACGCGGAACATCCTACAAACCACATTGGATTGCTTCATGTTCATTGCACACCACTGACCCTAAACACTCTTTCGCGAATTCCTCAAATGAATAACCTCTCGTCTACCACTGCTTTGCAAAAATTTGGGCTCTTCGGTAATGCATCTGTGTCATAATCATAAAGTCTCCACGCTTCGTCGATTTAGTACTGGTTAAGCAATTTCTACACATAGCGGGTGGTGTATACATTGATCTTACAGGGCGTGACCACGTCGGACACAATGTAATTTTGCACGCCATGCCATGTTCATTTCCCCCCACCAATCAGGCATGTTCGCCCGAATCGATGATGAAGCTTGTGCGCCATTCGATATGTAATCCGAGGGTGTCGCGTCGCTCACGCCAAACAAAGGGCACAAGAGGACTATAGGGGTTCTTTGAGGGTTCACACACATCACTGTAGCAGGTAACCCCTTCCCCTCCCCTCACCCTGTCCGACCGTCCCAGAAAGGTAGCATTGGGTTATCCGCATTTCCAGTTTTCAATTTGACAGCATGTTTGCACATTTCTAGACTCTACGGTATAGGGCTTGTGATTGCGTTCATTTTCCCCTCCACCAGTAGCCATGACACGCGACGAAGTCAGACGCGGAGATAGGCGCCGTAAGGAGCGCGTAGATCTAAAGGACTACGACAGTGGCTCAGGCGAGGTGCCTGCCAGGGGTAAACGGAGGGGGAAAAAACGGAAGATTACTAGAGAGGAAACTGCAGAAGCGGTCCGTGAATACCGGAAAGCAAACAAGCTTTCGGTGAAGAAGGGCGACGGGCTGGAAAGTGACGCCAACTCTTCCGACCCGGATGGCGACGATGATGCCCTAGACGACCCTTACGGGGACGTCGCGCCGGGCGGGCTTCGTAGCCCAATGAAAAGGTCGGCTCAGCGGAAGAAACCGATAGGTGATCTTGTCGGCACCCCCGGTGAGCTACTTGTCTTCCATGCTCCACCCGCCAGGTGGCGGTTTTTTTGTGCCTTCGTATTTAACATTCCCTGACATTGCGCGTTGCCGGGCCGCCATGCAGGGAATGATGGACCGCCGCACGCCCCCAAGAAGCCCAAGGCAGAGACGAAAAAGAACGGGCCGTAAGGGAAAAGGCCGAGAGAAACGCAGCGAAGGCCACTGCAGCAGCAGTAGAGGGGTCTGCAGCGGATGCAGAGGAGGATGCAGCGGTAGCAGAGGAGGATGCGGCGGTAGCAGACAAGGATGCGGCGGTAGCAGACAGGGATGCGGCGGTAGCAGAGGAGGATGCAGCGCTAGCAGAGGAGGATACAAAGGCAGCAAAAGTGGTCGCAGCCCCAGAGGCCGGCACCCCTCCGGCGAAGGCGGACGCGAGCGCCGCTCCCATTCCCGCAGCTGCCGCACCGACGCGGAACCGCGTCGTGATGAGCGCCGCAATGAACGCCGATTGTCCACCCACGACCGCAGCAGACGCGCCTCAGGCGGTTGAGGAAGTGGCGATGGTCGTCGTGGAGTCCCCTGCTAGCGCCATGCCGCCGTCGCACGATGATTCCCCTAACGGTGAAACTGTCGCAAACAATGTGGCGGAGTCGGATCGCGCGAGGCCCTCGCAGGCCGCTGCTGCGGCCCCCGTCTTGAAGACTCCCGCTCGTGTGGAAGCCGCGCGACCGTGGCCGCGACGACCAGCCCAGAGAAACCGTCAAACAAGGACAAGGACGGCGAATGGGAGCGTCGCGATGGAGACACCCGTCGAGCGAAGAGCGACGCCATTGCCCCATCACCTGAACGCCGCGAAAGAGGCTGCGTCCGCGAGACGAAACGGAAAAAGCGCGAAGACTCTCCCGAGGAATCAGACTCGCCGTCCTCTTCCAGCGACTCTGACTCGGGGAGTCCTCGGCGTCAGAGTCCAACTACGACGGTCGGAGCACCGAAAGCAGCGAGCCTGAGTCCCTCGAGAGCGAGTCTGACGGCGACCGCAAGCGCGGCAAAAAGCGCGGCAGGGACAGGCGCGTCGGGCGGCACAACGGTGGGAAGGATAAGGGGAGGGGGAGTAATGGCAAGAGGAAGAAAGGGGCGAGCAGAGGGAAGCAAGGACGTGGCGACATGAGGAAGCAAGGGAGAGGAGGGGAGGACGGAGGGCCTAGGGCTAGGCCCGCCAAGCATGGGTATGCTCCGTACCCGGCTGGCAGCGACGATTTCGAGAGCGGCTCTGCGTCTGAAGGTCCGGTGCTCATTCGGCGGACAGATTACCGCGACAAAGTTTCCGGCGTATGCAACCGACAAGGCGTTTCAGGCGTTGACCATGTCCTGTCACACACCCATGGCCTGTCACACACCCATGTCCTGTCACACACCCATGGCCCGTCACACACCCATGGCCTGTCACACACCCATGTCCAGTCACACATCCATGCCTGTCACACACCCATGGCCTGTCACACACCCATGTCCTGTCACACACCCATGGCCTGTCACACGTCCATGGCCTGTCACACACCCATGGCCTGTCAGCCACCCATGGCCTGTAACACACCCATGGCCTGTCACACACCCATGGCCTGTCACACACCCATGTCCTGTCACACATCCATGCCCTGTCACACACACATGGCCTGTCACACACCCATGCCCCGTCACACACCCATGGCCTGTCACAAACCCATGGCCTTTCACACACCCATGGCCTGTCACACACCCATGTCTTATCACACACCCATGTCCTGTCACACACCCATGTCCTGTCACACACGCTTTGCCTGTCACCCACATTTGCCTGTCACACACCCATGTCCTATCAGATACCCATGGCCTGTCACACACCCATGGCCTGTCACACACCCATGGTGTCACACATCCATGGCCTCTCACACACACATGGCCTGTCACACACCCATGTCCTGTCACACACCCATGGCCTGTCACACACCCATGGCCTGTTACACACCCATATCCTATCACACACCCATGTCCTGTCACACATCCATGGCCTGTCACACACCCATGTCCTGTCACACACCCATGGCCTGTCACACACCCATGGCCTGTCACACACCCATGGCCTATCACACACCCATGGCCTGTCACACACCCATGTCCTATCACACACCCATGGCCTATCACACACCCATGGCCTATCACACACCCATGGCCTATCACACACCCCATGGCCTATCACACACCCATGGCCTATCACACACCCATGGCCTGTCACACACCCATGGCCTATCACACACCCATGGCCTGTCACACACCCATGTCTTATCACACACCCATGTCCTGTCACACACCCATGTCCTGTCACACACCCATGGTCTGTCACACACCCATGGCCTGTCACACACCCATGGCCTGTTACACACCCATGGCCTGTCACACACCCATGTCCTGTCACACACCCATGGCCTGTCACACACCCATGGCCTGTTACACACCCATATCCTATCACACACCCATGTCCTGTCACACATCCATGGCCTGTCACACACCCATGGCCTGTCACACACCCATGGCCTGTCACACACCCATGGCCTGTCACACACCATGGCATATCACACACCCATGGTTTGTCACACACCCATGTCCTATCACACACCCATGGCCTATCACACACCCATGGCCTATCACACACCCATGGCCTATCACACACCCATGGCCTATCACACACCCATGGCCTATCACACACCCATGGCCTGTCACACACCCATGGCCTATCACACACCCATGTCCTGTCACACACCCATGTCCTGTCACACACCCATTGTCTGTCACACACCCTTGGCGTGTCACACACCCTTGGCCTGTCACACACCCATGTCCTATCACACACCCATGGCCTGTCACACACCCATGGCATGTCACACACCCATGTCCTGTCACACACCCATGGTCTGTCACACACCCATGGTCACACACCCATGTCCTGTCACACACCCATGGCCTGTCACACACCCATGTCCTGTCACACACCCATGGCCTGTCACACACCCATGGCCTGTCACACACCCATGGCCTGTCACACACCCATGGCCTGTCACACACCCATGGCCTGTCACACACCCATGGCCTGTCACACACCCATGGCCGGTCACACACCCATGGCCTGTCACACACCCATGTCCTGTCACACACCCATGTCTTGTCACACACCCATGTCCTGTCCCACACCCATGTCCTGGTGGGCGCACACTACTAGCCTATAAAACACCCATCATGAAACTCTTCCATTATTCAACTTCGCTTTACCCTTCCCCTCTTCCTTCGCCTCTGTCCCGTCACGCCCTTTTGCTTCCCCTGTCGCCCCCTTTCACTCTCCCACCACCCATTTTCGATCTCTCGCGCCCATTTTCCAACCCCACCAATGCATTGCCTTGTACAGAAGCCATCTCCTAGGGAGCTCGCCCACTCCGTCCCTTCTCATGGCGAAATACGGAAAGATACACACAATGGATCATATGCTACATTGACATAGTAATTTCCTCTGTAGATTCGGCCCTTCTTTGGCACGTATGAGGACCGTCACAAAACAAATCGGGCCGGAAGTCACAAAATTGACACTTGGGTGACGCGTCAGTATATCCCCTAGAAAGACAAAAAATATCTTCAAGGGCAGTCCTCGGCATACTGGGAGTTTCATCGGGGAATGAACGCGGACACTCCTCGAGGATTGATTGGCGAATCCAAGCTGTACTGCTGACGATTCGTTTGTGATTACAGTACGCTGTACTCGTTATTGCGCAGTTTAAAGCCCACATTGTGATTGTATAACAATCTTGAATAATGTAAATTACATTTTGACTAAGTCGTATTAATAAACGGAACTTCCATACAATCACAAATATGTATAAGAACCTCTGCATAAGCACGTGTTTACATAAAACAATGTTGCGCCTAAACAAATGCACCTGCTTATTACACGCAATTGGCGCATAGGAAAAAACCGCATTATTCACAGCACATTAGTATCCTTCCTTTCGCCCGTTCTAATTAAACTGAATCGTCAGGCTAGATTTCAATACAGGTCAAACTGTTAGAATACAAGAATGACTAGAAACAAGGGTGAACAAGGGAGATATAGGGTTGGAGTTGTACCCTCTAAGAATACACCCCTATCTAGCCTATAACTTCTACATACAAATATATGTATAAGTTGACACACCTCCTAGGCTAGATAAGGGGTAGTGTTTGTTGTGATATAATGCATACTTAGCATTTCTGTAAGTCGATTATCGGTAGATAGTGTCGAATCCTACTGTAGAATATAAGTCTGTGGGATGACGTCAGCAAATAGCGCTCGTCATGAGGACAGTCGTTTCAGTCACGCGAATAGTCGCGTCTCTTCATTATCATTTAGGGCGCATAGCGCGATAGTGACGAACAGGTACATTAGCGAACAGGTACATTAGCGAACAGGTACTTTCCTAGAGCTATAAAATCCTTGTTATGCCTTTCTATTGTTCACCTTGAGATTTCAACTTTGAGACTTTAAACTTGACTTCAACTGAATTATATACTCAGGTTCATTCTTACAAAGACTTCCACTGTCTTACTTGTCTACCATTCCAGTAAAGATCCTAGGCTAACACTTGAGGTTTTCCAAGTGTTTGTGTTTGCAGATTCTACACTTAGTCTCGTGCAACACCTGTCAAATTATTACATGGTATGAGAGCTATCTGGATTTAAGACTACTGTCAACAATGACTGGGACATCACCAGCACCATCTACCGGATCCAGTTCTGGAACTACTGGAGTACCTGTCTCCACGACCGCCACTGGTCTCTCAGCCTCTGGACCGTTTCCACTGGCTTATGCGCACATCAGTATGCAGCAGCAGAATCCGCCTTCTGTCAGTACTCCAGGTGTTTCATCGACTGCACGTACAGCGCAACAACAACAAACACAGGCAACAGCACAACATCAGGCAACAGCACAGCAACAAGCAACACCACAGCAGTTTTCAACACAGTCAATATCGTCAGCGTTTAGTGGAATGAGCCTTGACGGCTCAAGTTACATGCGTGGAGCTTCAGCTCCAAGTACTGGCTCATTTGCCTTCTCGCCGTTTACGCAGCAGCCGCAGTCGCAGCAGCAGCAGCCCTTTTACATCTTCGGGCGATCACCTGCTCAGCAACAACAACAGCAACAGCAACATCAGCAACAACAGCAACAACTGCAGCATCCACAGCAATTCCAGCAACAGCAACAACCTCAACAACAGGGGATTATTTTTCAACCGCCAAATCTACTTACCAGCACGCAGATCAAGACTACTATACCTTTTAACGGAGTTGAATTTTACTCCTGGAGCTTCGAGTTTGAGCTTCTGGCGCAGTTCGCTGGGCTATGGCCGTTCTTCACCGGCGAGTTTACGTATCCTGTCATGGGAACACAACTGGAGCAACAGAGTTTCCTGCACGCCTCTCTCGGGGCGTATACGGTTCTAGTTCGGAACCTGTCGCCAAAGGAGCAGCTTGGCGTTCGATCTTTTCATTCAAGCTTCACGCCAGCTGAAACTGCATGGAACCACTTAAAGGGGGTGTACATGGCAAAAGACACAATAACAGCAAGTAAGATTCTTTCGCAGCTGACAAGTGTGCAGATGATGACAAACGAGAATGTCATGGATTACGTCAATCGTGTTCGCACACTACAAGATCAACTGGAGAAGAGTGGAGGATACTTCCCTCGTGAGATGTATCTCATGGTCCTTCTTGCTGGACTTGGTCCCGAGTGGCGACAGACGCGCGCCTTCTTGCGCATGAATCCGAACCTCTCAGAAACCGAAATTTCGTCGTATCTTCAAGCGGAACAGCAAGATCTTGACCTGCAGTCACAACGCAATCAGAAGAAAGGATTACAATTAAGTTTTTACTCAAATCCAGAGCCACAGCAACGACTTCCCCCGAAATATCCCTTCTGCCATTTCTGCAAGAAACCAGGACATACTTACCAAACTTGTCGCAGTCGTTGTCAAAACCGTCGCAGCACTTCGCAACCATATCATCGTTCGCAGCAGTTACCGAAGCCACATCAGCAAATGCAGCAGTCGACGTCCCAGACGCAGCAGATGCCGCAGAGTACACCGCCATCACAGCATCGTCCTCCGGTCTTTGCATCTGCAACATCAGGAAAAGGGGTTTTTGGATGTGTTACAACAGTTGATATTTCAGATACAGATTTCGAGACACAACTTGAAGAAACCACCAGTGCAGAGGGCATTCCCTTACCGCAAGTTTACGCTAACCTTGCTCGAGTCATTTCAGGACCCAATACTTGGTATCTCGACAGCTGTTGCGGTTGGCACATGTGCTCCGCTGAAACAAGCGTCATCACCAACCAGTGTCCTCTTCATCGTCCGATAACAGTCACAGTTGCAAACGGACAAACCATTATGGCAAGATCTATTGGGAGTGTAATACTTGAATCAGTCGACACGGGATATTCCTTACACGTTACCAATGTTCCTATCGTCGCCAGCCTTGGTTTCAATCTTCTCTCCACAGCTCAACTCCTGGCACACAAGATTCGCACACAAGGGAATTGTGATACAATGGATCAGGAGTTATGGCACAGTTTATCAAATACTTACCTCGGTCGCGCTGCTACTCAACATGGAGTATCAGTTCTTCAGTTCACAGCACAGGGCACCTCTGGTGATTCTGAACGCGTCCTTGGTCTCGGTCCCTGGGGTCACCCAGAAGAAACATATTATATACACGTGGATATTGTTTTTCGGGCAACTACTGTACCAACAGCTTCTAGAACTGTAGCTGCCGTTCTTACCGCACTGGATACTTGGGAGTTTAATACCGCCGATGAAGGCGCCAATGCTTGGCGAACCTTCTATAACACCCGTGCAGCCTTCCAAGGAACTCCAGCTCCACTTTGGGGAGAAATCAGTGGACTTGCAGCTGATGAACCCGAAGTCGTCGAGGAAGCCGTGAAAGAAGAAGTCGCCGAGCAGCCGAGTCTTCCAGTAGCTGTCGCAGGACCATCTGCCATCAAACTGTAACATCAAAAGAAGCAGTATCAGAAATTGCAGTCGCAAATACAGCAGACACTTCAAATGTTCAGTTACCCCTTACCCGTTTCGTCGAAGGGGAGATTGACATGTCTCCAGCTCTTTCTCCTTTCATCATTTCTTCATTTTATACTAACGCCGACTTTTATCTGCGATCATCAGGACACAAAGCCACATAAGAAATTTGGCACCAACGGTTAGGACATCCATCGCAAGGGATTTTAAATCATTGAATCCGAGCAGCAGTTCTTGATAAAAACAGTCTTCTCTTACCTGACGGCACGGAGATGAAACCGCAGTCTCGCCCAACGGTCTGCACCACGTGTCCGGTCACCAATCTTACCCACGACCCGTTTTCGAGTCATTTTCCTGGCTCCACTCGTTACAAACTGATGCAGAAGGTCTACAGCGATATTCTTAACTTACCTGAAGCAGGACCTAAAGAAGAGCTGTACGTGATTACCTTCATCGAAGCATCTACTCGATATGTTTGGACAGCAAACCTTCCTGCTCGACATCTCGCCCATTCAGTCTTCGTCGCATGGCTCGCCGTCGCTGAAAGAGAGTCTTGAGCAAAACTGCAAGAATTCCAGAGTGATGGCGCAGGGGAGTACACGAGCAACGCTTTCACAGACTACCTCCAGACACTCGGCATCAAACGGAAGCAGTCACTGCCACATGCACACCAACAGATGGGGGTAGCAGAAAGGATGAATCGGACTCTGCAGGAGAAGATGCGTGCTCTGCTGACGCAGGCAGCCCTTCCTCCTCGCTTTTGGCCGTATGCGATGGACCACGCGGTGCTGTTACACAACCTGCTGTCTTCCACATCACTGCCCGAGTTTTCTTCACCTCACCTGCAGTGGACACGAACAGTGGGAAGTACAAAACTTTTACGAGTTTTTGGGTGTGTCGTGCAGTTTCGTCCTCCAACTGCAGCACTCGGCAAATTTTCCGAACGGGCAAAATGGGGGGTACACCTCGGCATCGAAAAATAGTATCATGCATGGAAGATTTTGGATCTTCGTTCAAACCAAATTGTCCCTTCACGTGATCATCTCTTCTATGAAAGACTCACCTTGCCAGTTTTTCGTGCCCACCAGGCAGCAGCTGCAAACCCTGCCAGGCTGTTCGAAGGCTCGCGTGCATTTGCAACTGACGAAGCCGAAGCTGATGTACAGGACGAGGCGGTTTCTGAAGCTTCCGAAGCTACCGCAACTGACATTCCCGAACCTGTCACGTCAACAGGCATCCCGTAATTTATTCCCCTCGCTGATGTTGACCCGGATGACGTTCCCGAAGTCCACCTCAGCTACGAACGCGATCGCCAACAGCAGCCGATGCCACCCGTCTCCGACGAAGCAGTTCGTGTTACACCTAACGAAATTGGGGGGGGGAGAAGGGTCAGAAGAAAATTTCGCAGGTGCAAACGAAGAACGTCCGCGTTTTACAGAAACTGGCTTACAGATACTTGGATTCGCAGTCGCAGTACAGTACAACGACAGTAAAATATCTTAACCGAAAACCGTTCGACAAGCTCTTACGAGTCCTTACCGCGAAAAATGGCGCAAAGCCATGGACAGAGAGCTAGCAGCTCTCAAGACTCGCGGCACATGGGAGTTAGTACCGACATCAGAAGTAAAAGGGAGGAAGGTACTTGCCGGGAAGTGGGTCTTCCGTGTCAAGACTAATGCAGATGGGTCGTTTGAGAAATTCAAGGCGTGATGGGTCATCCGCGGGTTCGAGCAGACTTACGGCATCGACTACGAGTTAACTTTTGCTCCCGTCGGTCGACATACGAGCGTTCGGATTTTACTCTGTGTCGCCGCCTGCCGCAATCTACGACTTCGACAAATCGACGTGGCAAACGCATTTCTCTACGCACCCGTCGACACACTCATTCTGGTAGAGTACCCACATTCGTATACTACTAACCCACCGAGCGTATGCCGTCTCCGAAATTCGCTATACGGCATTAAACAGGCACCCCGGCTATGCGCAGTACCTACAGTACATTCACAGCTACTCACTGCTGGATTCCGTCAACTACCGCATGACCAGGGGATGTATCTTTTAACTGACAGGAGCAACTATATTTTACTTGTCGCCTACGTCGACGATATTCTCTACGTCAGTACTACCGACTCGCTCGCCAATACCTTCATACTGAAACTACAGAAAAATCTACAGCTTACCGTCTCCGAGACAGTCTCACAGTTTCTCGGTTTAAATATTACCTACTCACCGACGTCTATTCACCTCACCGCTTCGAAGTACGCAGCGACGCTCGCTGCCCGCTTCAACCTCACTCCTTCTACAGTCACTACACCGTACCGATCACTACCGACAGACTACAAACCGAATACTACACCGTTGAGTCTAACCGACCTACAGACCGATCAACAGCAGTTAGGCTGTCTACTCTTCACCGCTGTTACTTGTCGTCCAGATCTAGCGTACGCGGCTAGTCAACTCGCACAGTTCCTACGCCGTCCTGAAGAAGAACACCAACTCGATCTTCTTCGCGCGCTTCAGTATTTCGTCTCGACTCCTGACGTCGGCTTAGTCTACAACGTCGTCGGCTGTAAAACTCTATACCTACACCGTTTCGTCGGCGCCGACCACGCTGCTGATACTACTAATCGGCGCTCGCGTGCTGGATTCATCTACCGCCTTGAACCTATCGGCCCTATTTCTTGGAATTCGATGAAGCAGGAGCGGATTGCTCTCTCCTCTGCTGAAGCTGAATTTATCGCTGTCTGCACAGCAAAACGCGAAGGACTTTACCTGCAGGAGCTCTTGGAAGAAGCAAAGTTGACGACAAGTACTCATATCACTTTACAGTGTGACAACCAGAGTGCAATTCGCATCGCGCATCAACCTGGCTTCGTGAACAGGACGAAACATATTTCACTACGTTATTTTTTCGTCAAGGATGAAGTCGAGAAGGGGAGAATGCGATTGGTCTATTGTTCGACCAACGAAATGGCTGCCGACTTCCTCACGAAGAAGCTGACACGACAGAAGTTTCAGTACTGTAACAAGCTTTGCGGGATCTTCAAGAAGTGACACTGTCGAACTTCCAGAAATGAAGGGGAGTGTTGTGATATAATGCATACTTAGCATTTCTGTAAGTCGATTATCGGTAGATAGTGTCGAATCCTACAGTAGAATATAAGTCCGTAGGATGACGTCAGCAAATAGCACTCGTCATGAGGACAGTCGTTTCAGTCGCGCGAATAGTTGCGTCTCTTCATTATCATTTAGGGCAAATAGTGCGATAGTGACGAACAGGTACATTAGCGAACAAGTACTTTCCTAGAGCTATAAAATCTTGTTATGCCTTTCTATTGTTAACCTTGAGATTTCAACTTTGAGACTTTAAACTTGACTTCAACTGAATTATATACTCAGGTTCATTCTTACAAAGACTTCCGCTGCCTTACTAGTCTACCATTCCAGTAAAGATCCTAGGCTAACACTTGAGGTTTTCCAAGTGTCTGTGTTTGCAGATTCTACACTTACTGTAGTCCCCTGCAACACCTGTCAAATTATTACAGTGCTGAGCAAGAAACACGCAGCTTAGGGTGGCACTACTAGTCCAAACTCTGAGACAGGGGTCCGAAAACCAGTCAGCAAGAGTATAAACAAGACAGGAGCAAAACAGGGCGGCACTACTAGTCCGGCCACTGGAAGAGAAGCCACAAGGCCAGTCTGAAAGGTATATATAAAGAGGAGTACACAATCAAGGTCCTAGCAAGTGAGAATCTACAGGAACTAGACCAAGCTACAAACAGTGCCGCTGATGATCCTTAGGCGCAAGCGCTTTAGTAAAGATATCAGCTATGTTGGCACCAGAGGCCAAGTGTACTACGCAGGCCTGGCGACGCTGTTGTAGCTCGCGCAGGAGGAAGTACCGCAGCTGGATGTGCTTCGCTCTGCCCTCAAGTCGAGGCTCTTGACAAAGGAGGATCATGGTCCTGTTGTCAGCGTTCAGAACCGGGGCAGAGCTAGGCCGCTCACCTAAGTCGGTGAGCAAGAAGGCCAGCCAGCAGAGCTCCTGTGCCGCCATGGCACCGGCGTAGATCTCAGACTCACAGCTAGACTGGGCAACAGACGAGGAGCGAGTGGACCTCCATGAGATGGCACCTGAACCAACGCTAAAGCAGTAGCCCTGAGAGGACCTGAGGGTCTCAGCGTCGTCTGCCCAAGATGCGTCTGTGTGCCCAGTAAGGACCACTGGCCTACGTCCTCCCAGCACTAACCCCGTGCCCGTTGTACTTGCTAGATAACGCAAAACTCTCTTAGCGGGCGACCAGTGCTGTGGTCGGTGTCTGCCTGTGGCCACAAAGCGAGCCATGATGCTGAGAGGGTATGCGAGATCTGGACGAGTGCAAGTCATTAGGTACATGAGGCAACCCACCAGCTCTGCGTAAGGACCAATGGGCTTTATTGACTCCTCTGGAACTGGAGCAGAGAGCCTGTGGTCTACTGGCTGAGGTGTGGGCTGTGCGGAGGAGAGTTGAAGACCGAACCTCTGAAGGACTTGGCGCACCAAGTGTGACTGTGAGAGAGTGATGGTGCACGCTGCTCTGTCCCTGGAGATCTGCAGACCAAGGTAGCGGCGCAGCTCTCCTAGGTCAGCGCAGGTGTGTCTCCTCAGCAGCTCGGCCTTCACAGAGACTAGTGCGTCTCTGTCTGCAGTAGCGAAGACCAGGTCGTCTACGTAGACAAGGATGTAGAACGGAGTCTGGCCAGCACGAACGAAGAGCGAGGGGTCTGCAGAGGACGGAAAGAACTGCACGTCAGCTAGCGTAGCACGCAGCATGTCGTGCCACTCACAGGGCGCCTGACGTAGGCCGTAGACCGGGTGCCGGAGAAGCCACTGCGTCCTAGGAGGGATGGTACCGGTGAAGCCGTGTAGACGGCGCAGGTAGACCTGCTCGTGTAGACTGCCCTGGAGAAACGCTGTGGAGAAGTCGAGGGAGTGTAACTCGTAGTCATGCTGTGCGATTACGTGCAGCAGCGCCCGAAGAGTAGTCGTCTTCGGGGTCGGGGCGAAGGTCTGAAAGAAGTCCACCCCCTCACGCTGACTGAAGCCTCTAGCCACGTAGCGTGCCTTGAATACAGGCGGCTCTCCAGGGGGGCGCTTCACTTTGAAGAGCCACCGGCCATCGACCACGTTCACCCCAGGTGGGGGAACTGCGTCGACGTTGGTGCCGGTGGATCTCCAATATGACATCTCCTGCTCCATGGCAGCTATCCACTGAGAGGCCCACGGTCCCGAGGTGGCCTCAGCGTAAGTGCGAGGGGTCGGGATGTCAAAGGCGTCAGGGTCACCCTCATGGACTAGCAGCATGGAACAGAGATGGGGAGCAGCCTCAGACAGGAAAGCAAGCTCGTACTGCCTATCCTCTAGGACGTCACTGCCAAGGGCATGCGCACCCCCAAGGGATAGAGGGCAGACACGGTCAGAGACCAGAGCGGTGGCGTATTCAAGGTGGCGGATAGAGGCGAAGTCAGCGATAGCAGCGACAAGAGCGTCACGACTGGAGACAAGAACCGACGGGTCGGTAACGAGGAATGCAAGGACCCGAGGAACAAAAGGACGAGCAGCACCAAGGTAGTTAGAGAGAGGGGGAGGCGCGACAGCGAGCGACGACGGAGGAGGCGAAGGCAGGAGGGGAGGACGAAACGCGTAGGAACGAAGCAACATAGGGTGAGAACGCTGAACAGGAGATACAGGACGAGCACGAGAGGGACGGCGAGACCAGACGTGAGACGAAGGCATCTGGTTAGGAGACAGAGGAGGAGACACAAGGGAGGAACGAGGGGGAAGACGAGCCGGAGACGAGTTCGGTGGAGGGAACACAGGGCCTTAGACAGGAAGAGGAGGAGGTGGCGGGGGAGGCGCAAGCGAGCGGTCAGGGGAGGGAAGGCCGAGCAGGCAAAGGGCGGACACCGGCGGCGACTGCTGCTGCTGCTACTGCTCGACGCCGACACCTGGACCGCCAGCTGCACCACGGCCACCGCCGGAACACACCACGCCAGCACCCCCAAAAACGCCCACCCTAAGAGCGAGAACTCTCTCCAGC